GGCCGGGCCTGCGGCGGGCGCTGGGGAACTGTCACTGTCTTCCCTTCCTCGGAGGGATCCCGAGCCAGAGTGTGCTCTCGGGCTTGCCCCCACCCATGTGCCACACCTCCGTCAGTTCTGCTCGGCCATTGGAGCACGGGCAGCTGCGCCCGCCACCTCCGGAGACTTGGAGGGGAAGCCCTGCCCCGCTCGCGAACCCCGGGGAGTCGGAGCCGCTGTTCTGTGACAGATTTCCCTCGAACTGGCCCAGGCGTGGGGCCGTTGTCCCCTCTGGTCTTATGGAGCGGCTCCCTTGGGCTCTTGGATTCTGTCCCGTCTGGGTGAGCAGAGACCCACTTCGGTGCCCTCCCTGGGTGGCTGGGGGGTGAAGGAGGAGTGCACCCCAGCTTCTCGGCGGTGGGCCCCGGTCACGGCCACGGGGCACACTCGTCCTCTCCTGCCCAGTCAGGCTTGTTGGTGGAGGGAAGACAGCTGGGGAAACCCTGGGTTCTCACTTCGTTTTTCTTCTTCAAGCAAGTGTGTTGTCAGTTTTGTACTAAAGAGAAGGCTAGGCATGTCCGAATGCTTTCAACTCCAAGCGATCCTCATAAACACTGGTGAGCAGGTGGTCCTATCCCCCCTTTCACAGAGGAAGCAGCAGAGGCTTCCTGAGGTTAAGGTCTTAGGGTGTATTCCAGAGATAAGACTGGGGTTCAAACCAGCGTTCTCTGAACAGTGGAGTTCTCCCTAGATCTGCAACACAAAAATGTCTTCAAAAGAACACTTGATTGGAAATTGAGAGGCTTCGATTGTGGTTGAGAGTTTGACCAAATCCTTTTCCTTTCCCAAATTTCGGTGTAATTAGGAGGGGATGGCAATTTCTTTTTTAATTTTAAAAAAATATTTAATTTTATTTATTATTTTTAATTTGATGAGAGAAGGAGAGACAGAAAGAGAGAAAGAGAGAGAGCAAAGCGCCAGGTCCAAGACTCAAACCATGGTCGGCCATGTGGGAGTCCAGCACCTCAACCGCCACACCACCTGCCGGCCCTGGGATGACAAATTTCTGAGGTCTCTTTATTGGAAGGGGCCTAGGACTCAGACACTATCTTCAGCAGGGTAGCCAGAAGCAGCTAAGGAAATGTAAAGGCCAGAGGTGTGTTCTCTAATGTTTAAAGAAAGCCTCTTTGCCGTTTCTGCCAGGCAAGTGTGTCTAGGAGTCCTCCCTACGAACATGCTGGTCTTCTGGGATAATAAGTGCGTCAGCCCATGCTGGGCTTCTGTGGTGAGAATGGGCTCCCAGTCTGAGACCTGCAAAAATGCAGGGTTCTCCTTTTCAGGATTAAAACATTAATGGATTGGGCTCTATGAGCCACCCTGCTGTTCCTCCTTCACCTACATACATCTCCTACTTGGGCACCTAGGAAGGCTAGCCAGGTAAGGGCACCCTCCCAATGGTGAGGATGCAGGAGCCGAGTTGCAGCAAGCTACATGGAGGGCTTCATTCAGTCTATGGAAGTCATTAGTGCTAGACAAATAAGCATGCCTACCGCCAGGTAGAGAGTATGCACTGGGCAGATGTAGGGGAGTGAGCTCTGAAGAGGACCCCACAGGCTCTCAGTGATCAGTTCCAGCATTTTACCCTGTGAGAAAGTCCTCCTTAATGCCTATAGTCTCTCTTGCTGTCTTCTCTTCCCTGCTTCCTATAGTTTCCTGCTTCCCAGTGGGCAGCCAGCTCTTCAGAGTACCTTCTTTCAAGAAGCTGGCCAGTTAGCAGATACCAAAAAGACCCAAGAACTGAGTTAGAGGAAGTCTGGAGACCCAGGATACTCTGAAGAGGGAGTGAGGGTGTCATGCTCTGAAATAAGATATCAGAAGAAAATACCATGTCAATGAGAAGCAAGGGTCTTAAGGTCCTGGCACATAGCTAGGGGGATCTGATTTTAAAGCCCAATCATTCTATTGGGAAATTTGGGAAAGGAAAAGGATTTGGTCAAACTCTCAACCACAATCAAAGCCTCTCAATTTCCAATCAAGTGTTCTTTTGAAGACTAAGCTATTGGCCTACAGAGCAGGAGGCGTTCCCTCCTGACTCCTCTCCAGGCCAACAACCTGAGGCCTCCAGGGTCCCCTTACTGCATTCTCAGAGTGCCCCACTGGGGAGAGCATGGACACTGGGCAGCTGGAGAGGGGGTCTTAGCTGGACCCAAGCCACATTTGGTTGAAAGGTTGGGAAATTTTCAACTAGAAAGGGTAAACAAGTTTTTCACTAAAACCTTCAGCCTAGATGTGGGGACGGAATCTGGAAAGTGAGAGGGAAAAAGGAGGGGAGAGAGAAGGGGACATTGATTAATTGGCTCCCCCTGGTCCTTGACCACACACCCAGCTGCCTCCCAGCCCCTCTTTAACAAACAGCAAGAGGGAGTACCCCCACCCACATGCCCCAGCCACTGTGGGGAAATGGGCTTCCCCCTGCCTCAGTGCAGGAGTGCTGATGGGTGGGGCTGAACTGCAGGTGTGAGCGCCACTCCATGACTCACAGAGGCTTTGGGAGGCCTACGCCTGGTATCCCTACCTGTAGCTGTGTCCCCCACCCCCATTTCCCCTTATCCCAGGAGCATGGCCTTGCAGCCTTGGCAGCAGTGTAGGGGGTTGGATAATACACCCATCACGGCATGGTGAAATGACATAGCCGGAAGCCAGGTACCTGAGGGCCACCCTGGCGTGTGACCCTGAGCTCTGCCTTGCCTCTCTGGCCTTCTGGAAACACACTACTCTCAGCTCTCACCTTCCACATGGCACCTGCCACTTGAGTATCTGAGAAGCCCAAGAGGAGAACTGTGAAACTGGAGGATGAGGGAAGTGGCCCCAAAGAAAATGATAACCCCTGGAGGTGCTGTGTTGTTATAAGGAACACTTGAGAATCCAATTCTAAGTTCCTGGCCTTTTCTGTGTGCCCTTTGCAAGACCCATTAGGAGTTGATGGTAATGTCCCCTCTGCTGTAACTCCCTGTGAACTGGGAGGACATGGGGCTGGCTTTGATCTTCACCAGGGTGTCCTAGAGTATGAAGGTAGCTTAGCACCACCAGCTGAGAGCTCTGGACACGTCTCTCTTGAATTCCTTGGGCACGAGAAATCCTTGCAAGGTCTTTTCCATCTCTCCCATCACCTGCCTCTGGTAAAGATCATGCCCAAAATCTAGAACAAACTCCTTTCTTCAGGCTGTCTGAGGCTAAGTTGGAGGTGGGGTGTGCTCGTGTGCACATGTCTAAGCTGCACTTGGGGGGGGTGGGGTGTTCCTGGCAGCCTCCACTCTGGCCTTGGCCCCTGGCTGACCCTGCTGAGCTGGGCACCTGGAACAGTCCTCTCCACTCTGGGGCTCAGCCTGGGCCTCACGCTCTGCTCCGGCTCCTTGGCACCTCGGGCCTCATTAGGAACAATAACAACACGCAGAGAGTGACTTTGTACTTCCCAGCGGTCTTTCATCCTGAGAACTCAAAGCAGTTTACACACCAGGACTCATCTATCCTCAGCCCAGGTCCCAAGGATTTGGCAGGATGAAGAGGGGACAGAGAGCCCTAGTCTTTCTGGATAGGCACAGCCACGGGGCTGGGGAGGGCAGTGAATCACCTAGGGTAGGTCCAGAATAGAGTAAAACTGGGCTGTGGTCTTTAGGTTGCAAACAGAGGGGACAGTCTCAAAAGAGCTGGAGATGAGCCCTTTCTTCCCACAAGCAAGGCCTGAGCCTCTGACCCATGTGGGCTCTGTGAGCTGCTGGAGGAGGGAGCAGAAGCTTCTTGGAAAGCAGGGTCCCTTAGAGTCAGATATTACAAGGAGCCTGAGTGACCCTGTTATTGCCTTCTGACTTTGGTGCCAGAGCTTCAGGGCCAAGTCAGGACAGCCCTGACCTTAGGGTGGTGCTACAGAGTGAGGTGTGTGTGGAAGACAAGTGCTAGCCCAGCATGAGCAGGCCCTAGCCCAGGCCTGACTAGCTTCTTGGTTTGCTACCTATGCCTGCTCAGCCCCACGCTCCTCCAGTCCTCCTCTGCTCTCTGGCCCACTGCATTGGCCCAAAGGACGGTTGACACAGGGAAGAGGGACTTTTTTTTTTTAACTCTGGCAAAGTGTTGTTAAGTCTAAGACCTAGGCCCCATTAGTACCACCTTCACGTTATGTACTGTCACCATGTCTGATCCTGTAGCACATTACCTGTCATAGTGTAGGGGGCTGCAACTAGCAGCCTAGCCATCCATTCATCAAGAATACCAGGCCCTGGGACCAGCAGTTAGCATAATGGCTATGTAGCTGAACTCCCATGTAGTCGACCGTGGTTCGAGTCCCGGACGCGGGGGGTTAAACTCACGCCAGGTGCGTGTGCACGCGTGCCCAAGATCCCGAGAGGAGAATGGAGGAGAAGGGATTGCGGCGTGCCAGCCCCCCTGGGGGGTGTTTTCTCGCTTTCTATCTCTCTGTCTGTCTCTGTCTTTCTGGTGAGCGCACATGCCCTATAGCAAAAACCTCTCCAAAAAAAAAGAGTTCCAGGTCCTGGCCATGTAATAGTTACACAAACTGCATGTGTTTTCACTCACTTTTGTGTGTTCAGTTCTGCAAGCATTAATCGAACTTCTTATTGTGTTAATAAACCATAGCCCCTGCCCTCAGAAAAGTCAGAAAGACTTGATTAAAATCAAGTCTAATAGGGGAACCAGCAGTTAGCATAATGGCTATGTTGCTGGACTCCCACGTAGTCGACCGCGGTTCGTGTCCCGGACCTGGTGGCTTAAAACTCACGCCGGGCGCGTGTGCATGCGTGTCCA